TCACACACACACACACACACACACACACACACACGTACGTTCTTCCTCTCCCACGGTCTTTCCTATGCTCAAGGTAGATCACAAACTATCTACCGCCTTCCCTCAGCTCGACGTCGTTGACAGACTTTTTTCCGCCCCCTCCTTTAGCAATCGCACTCTTGTTCTTTCCTTTCCCTTCCCAACTAATCACGCTCCGCACAACACACTTTCTTCCCTCCCTTCCTCAATTGATCAAACGGCCCATGCATGAGGCGCGATCAAGACAGCACTTGTAGTGTGTCCTTGACGCCTCTCGCCACGTCAGCCCATAATGTAGGGAACAGCACGGCTGGACACGTGAACACCCTAGTTGCTGCACGCTCGCAAACTCTGAGCAGTGACCCCACCCTACTCCCTGACCACCGCCGATTTGGGGGGTGGGGGGAGGGGGGGGAGGGAAGGGAGGGGGGAGGGCAACATGCATCCCCCTCGCTGCGAGAGATAGAGCTATCCTTGCAGGGTTCCTTGTATAGGGAAATGAACCCATCTGTGCATTGTTGGCTATATGATACACACGCGATTTTGGGCCTCGCCGCACGGTGCACGAAACGAAAAAAAAAACAGACTTTCGTGAAGGAGTCGCCGCACAGCACCCACACGACCTCTGTCAGAAAAAAGTCAGGAATGCTGTCAGACTCCAAGTTCGGGAGGCCTCACGAGTGTGCCCACTCCTCCCTGCCTGCAGCGTAGGTCCTCCGGTGGTGGTCGGCTGCAGGAGCTGCGAAATCTCGCAAGTGTGCACTCCAACCGAGGTCCATCCAAAAAATTGGACCGTAGCGAAACGAATCCGGCACTACTCTCGCCAGGGCGTTGTGGCGAGAGTTTTCGTGTGTGCTGTGGGGCAGCGAGGCAAAAAACGAAGCGAAACGGTGGATCAGGGCTTCGCGAGGCCTCGCGACTCTGGTGGTCGTTTCATTTCATTAGTTGTGCCGTCGGGCGAGGCCCTTTTTCACATATGTCAATTACTGGAACCAGGCCCAATGCCACTGGGTCGTCCCTAGGTAAATATCCCGCCCCCTTTGCGCGGTTTGGGGCAATATTCCATTTACAAGGAGCTGGTGCTTCTAACCATAATACGCTGACAGGGATGGATCAAGGAGAAGTTGCAGAACCGCCAGGGGCCAAGCTCCCACTTGCATGGGTTATGATGTTCGTAGATGACGAAGATCGACGGCCTGAAAATGAAGAGAATTATTTAGGGTGTCATATAAGCCATTATGACCACGTCCAAGTCTTCCTCCAGGGCCGAGGTCCCACTAGCAAAGAGGATAGGATCAGGAGCTAAGGGTGTCATATAAGCCATTATGACCACGTCCAAGTCTTCCTCCAGGGCCCAGGTCCCACTAGTAAAGAGGATAGGATCAAGCTCCTGCATCTGGATGTGTTTTATGCAGAGGTGCAGAAAAGCAGTTCAATCTCGATTTCCTGCACCTCTCCACAATTACGTCCAGATCCGGGCATTCGAATTCGCTCTGATCCTCTTTGCTAGTGGGACCACGGCCGAGGAGGTGTATGAGCTTCTAATATTTCTTTTATGGGATGGCCAATCCCAAAGTTTGTACGGTACATATGACCTGCAACAATAAATAAAAAAATAGCAATAGCAAGCTGGTGATGAGCTATGTCTGTATTCCCTGTAAAGGGTGGACCCCACTTAAAATATCTTGGAAAAGCGGCCAATCTTGGATATGAGAGTGAGGGCCACGGGAAGACTTGTACTGCGAAATGATAGGACCCCACTGGAAAGCGTAGAAAACGCTTGGAATAGGTATGGGTCTAGATCAATTGGTTAGGCACGCACGTGGTAGTAAACCACCAGTACCTTTCTCAGCTACTGAAGCCGAGCCTGGAAAGACCGGTAAGCCGAACCTGTCCAAACCTCGGGGCTACCGGTCCCACAAAAAGAAAAAGAAAAAAAGGAGAAAAAAAATAAAAATAACGTTTGAGATACTTTTTCACAGAGAGAGAGAGAGAGAGAGAGAGAGAGAGAGAGAGAGAGAGAGAGAGAGAGAGAGAGAGAGAGAGAGAGAGAGAGAGAG